AAGCTATAATTATAACATACATAGTCAAGCTTATGACATAAAAGTCATATGATCTAAATGAATAAGTCAGTTTTCAAATGATGTCATAATTTCAACTTATCTCATAATTTTTAATCATAATTTTGACTTCTAAATTATTAGTATCTCATAGTTTTTATTTTTATTTTTTTATGTCACAATTATACTTTTATCTCATAATTATAACTTGGTACCTCATCATTTTTTAATTAGTATCTCATAATTGCTGATGTTATCTCATAATTTCAGCTTTTTATCTTACAGTTACGACTTAGTGTTTCATATTTTTGACTTACTGTATGTCATAATTATTGACTTTTTATCTCATACTTCAGCCTTTTATCTCATAGTTATGACTTAGTATTTTGTAATTATGACTTAGTATATCATAATTATGATTTAGTCCTTTTTTATGTTTTTTTTCTTATGTGGCAGAAATGAGCTTCAATAATATCATGCTAATTGCTTTTGAAAAAAACATGTATCAAATTAGCCTAGTTGTTTCTTTCCTGACTCTTTCAGAGTTTGAAAGAATCTTTCATTAATGATCCAATGATTCACTTGTAAAGATTGTCGCCAGCTACACATGCAGAAAGACTCCCTGAAAAATCCCAACCATTAATATAGTTTTGTTTCAAACATGCCATCTAGACATTTATTTTACTTTTACATATTTTTTTTTAATAATAGCTTACTAGAGACTTGGATAAAAACAAAAACAAAGGAAAGACAAATCCAACTCAATAAAATTCAGAAACAACAACCAAAATGAAATGAGTCATTAATCTTTTCAAGGCTTTCCAATAATTCCAATAACTTAAATGGGATTCTTCCTCTTCATAAATCTCAAATATTGTAAAAACAACTCCACTACACACATAAATGAAAACAGATTGGGTCTTTGTGATTGTATTTATTTTTGTCAGTTGGAAATATATTTATTTCTCCACAATAACTCCAAGCAATGTATTTTTACTCAAGAAAGCAGTAGGTTTGTTTAAATCAAGGGTCAGTTGTTGTGGGTCAGTGAATGTCATTATCCCACTTGTATGTCCTTAGAGTTTGAGAGGCCTCACAAGAGGCCAAAGACCTTCATTGTCCACAATGCACGTCTCCAGTAAATGGAGCTTGGGTTTGCTCATTTCCATCACTGTCTCACAGCCTGCATCCAGAGCCAATCTGTGCAGGGTGCCCAGCCACTAATGAGCCCTGTTCTGTTGAGAGCCCTCCATACTCCTGAACATTTATTTACGCAAGCCAAGGATGGAGCTTTCAGACTGCAATGGCTGGTATAAATAAAATACCGAAATATGGACTATTGTAGTCTCTTTATTAATAATATAGGGTTCGATACATTTGTTTACTAATATGAATAATGAATTTCCAATTTATCAAATCGGCAGCCTAATAACCTTTTGTCATCTGAACAGTTTCAGTCTTTGTTTCTGGTAAACAAGCCATGAATTGTGCAGGGGATATTACTTTTATCCCTTAAGAAGAAAAGTCTTTGGTTTGTAAGAGATGATTACCTTATAGTCTCTGCTCCACAGCATCCCATAAAGATTGAATTATTCCAGTGATTGTGTAGCACATTGAAGTTTCTTTAGTGGTACACTGAGGGATACGTTTGGCAGAATGCTTACTCTGCAGTTTCCCATTCAACAATTTGGTCTTCATGTATAGGTTATATGCTGCTCTACCTGTAGAGAATGTGTGATTTTAACCATATTACAGAACGTATGTGTTTAATAAACGAAAACTCAGTGGAAATAATACAGATTTTGCTCAATTTAATTATAGATTCATATCATTACTTGTTCATTAAATCATTCTTCATGTAAATGCATCCACTTTTTTGGCAACTATGAACAAAATCATATGGAAGCCAATTTCCACCACTTAAGAAAAAAAATGCTTTGGTAAAATCATAATTATGAGATAAAAAGTTGTGGTTATGGAATACAAAGTCAAAATGATGAGGTAAAACGCATAATTATAATAAAACAGTAGAAATTAAATCATTACAAAATAAAATTACAGACATTTGAGATAATTTTTTATCTCATAATTTTGAATTATCTCAATCATGACTTTTGTCAACATTTTCACTTTATCTTAATTATAACTTGTCTCAACATTTTTACTTTTAATGTCATTACTTTGATTTAGTATCTCATCATTTTGACTTTCTATGTTAGTATCTCATAGTTTTGACATTTTTTGTCATAATTTTGAAAATGTGACATATTGTGTAAAAGATTATGACTTAATATCACATAATTTTTACATTTTATGCCATAATCATAACTTTTTATTCCATAAATATGATTTTTTTCTCATATCTCATAATTCACCGGCAAATTATAGCTTAGTGTCACATAATTTTGTTTTTTTGTGTGTTTGTGTTTTTTTTTTTTTTTTTACCTTTTCCCCATTTTTATAAATTATGTCATAATTGAATGTCTCTTAATATTTGATAATTGCTTAATATCTCATTATTATGATTTGTTTACTCAGAGTGCTAGCTCTACACTTTTCCATTTGACAGATGTGGAAAAATGGCCACAAACGAGCATATGACTTGGTGCACAAGTCATATTGAATATTTGATGGTGCTTTTTCACCCTTATTTTGCTTGAAAGCATCTGTCCTCATTTGTTTTCATTCAAAAACAGCAGATTGAATTTTTGTCCTAATTTATGCTTCAGTGTTTCATGAAAATATTAATAAAACCATATAGGTAAATCACTTTTAAAATGTGTATGAAGCCTAAATTGTGTGAGAACATTGACTACAACCAGTGTTTAGATTATGGAATCCATCTCGTTCTATAAATTGTCTTTCATAGTGCCATTTAGGCCATTATTTATGACTGCAATGTCGCTCTTCATACTATGACAGTCGATTGGCATTGGAAATGTATGTTGCACTTATTATTTATCCTTGTCCAAACATAAACCTGAAAACAAGGCGAATATGACTCAACAGCCTCTTTCAATTTCAAAAGTAGTTTTTAAATGGTAGTACTGCTGATGTTTGAAAATGTTTGAAACTATATTGCTACTAATAAACAATGATGGAGACTGAAACTATAAAGTAAAGTAAAGTAAAATAAAGTAAAGTAAAGTAAAGTAAAGAGGAAAGAAGGCAACTTTTTATTTACACAGCACTGGGCTTGGCACCCTTTCAAACTAAGTGTTCCTGCAACATTGTCTCCTTTCCAAACAATGAGCATGTTTCTTTGGACTGGCTACACAGAAGTGAACTACACAACAGTTCTTCCTAAATTTGTGGGCACAGTGTCAACACTTATGATGGGCAAGACAACAGCGTCTAGACCATTAGGCCAGAGGGAGTTGGAGATGGTCATGACTGAACCACATGCGTTGTTTTGACCTGTACACATCCACACAATATTGGCATAAGATCAACAACAAGCAGCAAGTCAGGCTGCCATACTGCACTTCTTCATGTGGAGGAGCAAGATTTATGACAGCTGCTTCTGTGTGCACGATATGGAGATGCATATGTGTGTGTGTGTACGAGTGAACAAGCTGTTCTTGACTAAGCTACAAATGAACATAAGAATGACATCTATCTAGCTTTCGTTTGAGCATGTAAATGATTCTTTAGAATGTAATTTTACGTATGTGTTTGTGTTTTTAATTATACTTTGGTTTTATGAGCATCGATTTTCTAAAGGAAACTCTTTGAGAGAAAATTGTGCTTAAATTGCACAATAGCAGAAGATGACATTTGATGATACAGTGTCGTTTTATTTCACTTTAAAATGTTAGTACTATTTTTTAGATGTTTAGACGTATGTATGTATGTATGTATGTATGTATGTATTTTGCATTAGAGTGTTTTATATTGAATTTCATGTTAAATATGTATTGTTTATAGTATTATTTTAGTCTCATTTGGGTTCAAATTAGGTTGATATTTTAATATTATATACACAGTAATGAACTAAAATGTACAGTCATTACACAGCCATCCTGCAATGCTTGTCACTCTATTGTTTATAATAAAATTCTTCAATCACTGCATATTACTTCGGAATTTAACTTAAATTTAATGCAAAAACGTCTCTCTCTCTCTCTCTCTCTCTCTCTCTCTGTGTGTGTGTGTGTGTGTCTGCATATTCATTACTTTATATATACATATTGTATTCATTTAATAATTATTCATCGAAGAGTTACAGGGTCTCCATGATCTATTTGCAGTTACATATCATGAACGATTCATTTGATTGATACTCAATTCTAAAATTAGTTGCATTTAATTATTAACATTGCTTGTACTTTCCTTCCATCATTTTAGTGAGTAGGTACCTTTTTTTTTTAATGTTTCTTCATCAGAAATCAAAGCAAATGCTTTGCGTGCACCGTCTCTCACCTTTAAATGCAGAATAGTGATGTATTGATTGCTTGCGTTCGAGGCAGGCACACCTCAGATATGAAACCGTTTTCATACAGTACAGTTAAAGATACGAGAGACGGAATCGTGATGTCTGTAGAGTCAGTAAGGCTTGTACTTTCATGTATTTGCCAGCGAAGTGTTGCATATGATTATAAAAGCACACCTCAATCAAACGCATGCTGGTAGACACAAAAGCCGGTTATCTGCAAGTTTTGCACACCAGATATTTGAACAAATGCTTTTTTGTCAAGTCAAAGACTCGCTTTAGTCATAAATGTAATATATGCACTGAGTTTCAATCAATCCACACTTGTTTTAATAGTCTGGGATTTGACGCGTCGATCCTCTGCCTGCATAAAACAAATCAAGCCATACAAGGTGACATAAAAGGAAATACCCGGCGTTCCTGTTGAAATGCACTTATTTTTCAAATCGCATGTCTTAAGGGCTGTGACGTAGCGTATGTGCGCATAGTTCCTATAGTCTTAACGCAGTGTTTGTTGTGACAGTGATAGAAGAAGCTCAGCGCATCGGCTGCACTGTTGCATGCACGTCGAGTAGTTAATTATTTTACCGCATTCAACTGCAGTTCCCCCTCCACACACACTCACACACACTCACGGCGAAAAAAGAAACAACCTTCACGCGAACAACACCTGTGCTTTGTGGAATACTTGAGCTTTTCTTTTTCTTTTCCTATGTGAAACGGGAATATCGTCTGAGAGGACTCTGGAAATGCCGTGTGCTTTAAATACATTTGGATGGGGAAAACGGAGTGGCTCCGCGAAAGCCGTCGGCGGGGATAGAGAGGAGAAATGCATCCTGGAATGAAAGCAATCTAAACCCTTCGACGGCGATTTCTGTGCACATTTCCATCACTTGCCCTGTATGTGGACTGTTTTTCCCCCGCGCGAGCGAGTGAGCGAGCAAGCAAGCATTCCCTCATCCGATGGATTTTTGCCTTCGCAGCTCAGCAGAGGGTGTTAGATCTGCCAGTGAACACCGGGCTGAAAAGTCCAGAATCTCTCAGCGACCGTCTTTGTGATACAAAAGCGTTGAACAAAGCCGTCGGAGTCCGAGGAAGGATGCTAAAGATGTAAGAATCTCGGATTAATTTTACTGTGATTCATTGAGATGTACGCGGTGTGATTTCAGCACCACGGGAGAAAGAACAGCTCCCGCGCCGTGGATATGTGATAAAAGCACAAGGTCAGTGATTTGCGAGCCCGTAAAGCCAAATAATTGAGTTGAAGATGTCATTCTGTACACTTTAAGATTGTTTTGAGAGCATGCGATGGGGAGGTGATGAAAAAAAGGCTTCTTGCTGTCGATTTTTCTCAATCTGGACATAGAGAGCTGAGCATGGATATAATCACAGAGTGTCCTCTGCTTTTTTAGACCGGAGATTTATCTCATTACTCGCCCTCTTGCTGATTGTATTCATGTCTTGATGTCGGGCATGATTGTGTCGTATTGAAAATGCTGCTTTGGATTGTGTTGCTGAAGGCGGCTCTTTGTGTAGCTATCGGGAATGTTACAAGGGACGTCTGTAAGGAGCAGATCTGCTCCTGCAACGCAATAGAAGGCGATTTGCACATTGACTGTGAGAAAAGGAGCCTCACGAACCTGCACCATTTGACAGGTCCGAGCTCCCAGTTTTACCATCTCCTGCTTCACGGGAATTCTTTGTCCAGACTGTTCCCCAACGAGTTTGCTAACTTTTACAATGCCGTGAGCTTGCATTTGGAGAACAATGGCTTGCACGACATTGTGCCCGGTTCATTCCTGGGACTGCAGCTCGTGAAACGGCTGCACATCAATAACAACAAGATCAGGTCTTTCAAAAAGAACACCTTTCTCGGTTTAGACGACCTGAAGTACCTTCAAGCCGACTTCAACCTTCTAAGGGACATCGACCCGTCTGTGTTCAGGGACTTGAGTAAGCTTGAAGTTTTGATCTTAAACGACAACCTTATTAGCGCTCTTCCCATCAACGTGTTTCAGAACGTGCCCATCACGCACCTCGATCTGAGAGGGAACCGAATAAAAACGTTGCCTTACGAGGGGATTCTAGAGCAGATACCTGGCATCGTGGAGGTTTTATTGGAGGACAACCCGTGGGATTGCAACTGCGACCTGGTTTCCCTAAAGGAATGGCTAGAGAACATCCCCCAGAACGTGCTCATCGGAAGGGTCATTTGCGAGGCGCCCACTCGGCTGCAAGGGAACGACCTGAACGAAACGGCCGAGACGGAGCTGTGCCCTTCAAAGAGCGGCATGGATTCCAGCCTGGTGGCACCTCCCACCCAAGACGAGACTCCCGACCGCGGCCCCCGTCCCACGCCCTCTAAAACGAGCGGGGTGACGGAGTCCCACAGTGGTGGGAGAGGGCATGACAAGGGCCGTCCGAAAGCCAGGGAGAACTGGCAGCTGAAAACGAAGCCCACGGCCATCGCGACGGGTGCCGTTGAAAGGGAGCCGCCGGCTAATTCGACATGCCCTCAGTCCTGTGATTGTAAGCTGATAGGAACTAGACAAGGGCTTGGGGTCAACTGCGAGGGCAAGAAGATAGAAAGTGTAGCTAATCTCAAACCCAAACCCCTGGGCGCGCACGAGTTAAATCTGCGTGACAACAACATTCACACCATCAGAAGGAACCAGCTCAGAGGCTACCACAGCTTGAATTTGCTTGATTTGGGGGGGAATAACATCAAGATGATCGAAAATGGCACCTTCCACAACCTGACCGAGTTGAGGTGGCTCTACATGGACAAGAACTACTTGGACACGTTAATGGCGGAGATGTTCGTTGGACTTCAGAACCTGGAGTATCTCAGTTTGGAATATAATGACATCCAGCTCATAATGCCGAGCACCTTCAGCCCGATGCCCAACTTGAGGGTACTCTTCCTCAACAACAATCTGCTCAAAGCTCTGCCCGTGGATGCATTCTTGGGGGTTTCTTTGTCCAAAATAAGCTTGCATAACAATTATTTCACATATCTCACTGTGCCAGGCGTCCTAGACCAGCTCAACTCTATCATCCAGATCGATTTGCACGGGAACCCCTGGGATTGCACGTGCAACATCGTTCCCTTCAAACAGTGGACAGACAAGCTTGGGGCAGACGTCATCGTGAGCGACCTAAAATGCGAGTCGCCCGAGCAGTTCTGGAAGAGGGATTTCCGGCGGATCAGGAACGATCTGATGTGCCCTCAACTCTACGAGAAGATCTCCCCCACCTCGCTGTCCAAAAACAGCACTTACCCGGCAGACACGGGGACGCGGCCCAACTCCTACCTGGAGCCTAGCAGAGTGTCCATATCGGTGCTCGTGCCCGGTCTGCTCTTGGTTTTCGTGACGTCTGCCTTCACTGTGGTGGGAATGCTGGTCTTTATCCTGCGCAATCGAAAGAGATCGAAGCGGAGAGACGGCAACTCTTCTGCGTCAGAAATCAATTCCTTACAGACAGTATGCGACTCGTCCTACTGGCACAGCGGAGCTTATCATGCGGATGGGCCACACAGAGGTTACGACTGTGGTGCCCACTCTCTCTCTGACAAATGATGCTCACAGAGAAACGGGCAAGCAAACGGATGAACTGCGTTTCGTATGTTGCGGTGACGAAGGAGGGCGACACACAAACATTAGACCCAGACTCGCCTCTGTGGGAAAAAAATAGCCTATTTTTGTTGCTTCGGTTGAGTATAGCGTCCATCAAACACTGCAATGGGGCCCCCACTGTTAAATATGTATAGAGCCTCTCTCTCTTTCTTTCTCCTCCCAGCTCAGACTGCAGACACGCTCAAAAGAGGACATGGGAACGGTGCACGAACGCATGAATGTAATGTAAATAACGGACTGTAACATATCTGCATGATTCGCATGGTCTCAACACACACTGGGAACCATTACCATAGTAACAAGGAAGCCAACGCGATCCTCCTTTCGTGTCATCAATATATATATACATATATATATATATATATATATATAAATATAAAACTATATATGACTATATTAAAAGTGCCATTTCTTCTATTTTTTGTCAGTTAGAATTTGTATTTGCTGTTTGATTTCTCTTTCTCAAAGGTGGACAGGCCAAAAGGTGGAGATAAACATGTACGTTGTAAATGCATGTACTTTACATTTTATCAGTTGATTGGTTGATATGGGGATAATTTATACTTTTTTTGAGTGCAGATTTCTCATGTATCTGCCCAGTCATCTCCTTTATGAATGTAAAATGTGTTTATCTTATAGTGTGCCAACTGTTGACATGTTTGGGATGCGGATAAGCATGACCGATTCAAGTCACTGACGTGCTTATGCTGCGAAAATTCAGTGTAGCTCCAGTGGTTCGTGATCTTGTGTGTCGAAGAATACAGCGTGTGGGTACAAGGATGACGCAAGGGGAGGATTTTTTTTTTCTTTTTCTTTTTGAAAAGTGATGTTTGAAGGGGGCTTTGGTATGTGCAGATTTTGAACCGTCTACAGAGTGCAAATAGACTGAGATGCCTTTATTTTATTTATTATTATTATTATTAATTATTATTATTATTTTTAGTGGATGAAGTATTCCTTCACAAAAGCCTATTATTCACTGTAAGTATTGTGAGCTTTTGTAAAGCCATCTATTTTGTCCAAATACGAGAAAGGAATATTACGCCGTTTGCTACTTCGATACGTCCTATGAAGCGGATGAAAAGGTGTAAATATATGTAGGAGAAGCAGACCAGAGGCATGTCTGTGCATTTGACTGATGTCATCACAGCCGCCGTAGATCGAATAGCTGCCTCTAGATGTCGCTGTTGCCTCTCAAGCATTTGAAACCATGCTGGGAGCTGAAGTTCACCGGTATGTAACGGATTCACGTTATCAACATGACTAGGCCTAAGCGTGTCACTGTGATGGCTAATACTTGCAGAGAAGGGCGGGATCAAATTCAGTAGTGAGGAACACGAGTTGAACGCTGTTTCCAAAATGCCATTTTTACAAACGAGATGTAGAGCGCAGTGCCATGCATCTTACTGCTAGCATTTAAATGTCACTGCTGATGTTTTTGAAGTTGAGTTTGTATCACTGTAATGATTTTACAACAAAAACAACGTAAATAAAAAACTGTTAAAAGCTAAAATAAGGTAACCAGCCATCCATTTCCATAGTCCGAGTACCATCTAGACTTTGTAGCTTATCTTTATATTCTTCTTGGCCCTAATTATGTGAGTTTATTGAATAATACAATAAGAAAGCTCCATCCAGAATCCTATTTATGGCCATGCTTTGTTGCAAGTGTGGAAAATATTGACACCGGGAGATGCTTTTCTCTCTTACCTGTCAATTTGATTTAGGTTGCACAAAACAAAGTCGGTTGAATTGCAATCTAGCAGAATGTCCCAACGGGGTTCCTGTCATATTGCAATGGTTTTACTCTAATGTAGATTCAGAGCCTTCAGGGAGATGTGTGTTGTGACTCACGCTGCACATAAAGAAAAAAAAAAACATTCGTTCTTCCCCCAACCGACCGAAATTGAAGGGTGACCTTCTGATCTATTATATCTGTTATACTGGTTCTGGCTGTCCATCAAGGCATCTCCATCTCTCTCTCTCGTCATGCGTGGAAGGGTAATTATTTGTCACTCCACTGTGAAAGACTGTACCACATTCTGGCTTATCTATTATTTGGTGCATTTTCCCAACAGTTTGTCTCAGAGTTACATTTCTATGCTTTGCTACATTTGATCTGCTTCTATTTTGTTAAATAAAATGTGGTGGAGGTTGAGTGAAGTTACAGTGGGTATATATTATTTTTCATTTGTGAATGTAAAAAATTCCTCTTTTTATAAACCTATGCATGATGTTCACATCTTGGTTATGAAATTCTCAGTATGAAGTGCAATGCATTACGGTGAACATAATAATCACTGGTCGGTGCGGTTTATATGAAGCGCTAATGCTTTACAGGCTTTTAAAAATGAAAGGCACTTTATGGTATCAAATGAACACATGCTTTCACAGGGGAAATATATTGAATGGATTCTGTCTAGCTCTCAAAAGGTCAGCTGGATATACGTGGATCATTCCTGTTATGCAGTATGTCCAAAATTAATATTTATGTTGTAATGTACTGTAAGAAATATTTTTATAAAATGTACTAGACTTCCAGAAATATGTTCAGACTCTTACATTCCTGTAGCTCAAACAGTGATATAGAAACACCAAGTTTGTGAGTTTGATTTCTAGGAAGTGCATGAATAGATAACGTAAACTGTACATTGAGCGCATTAATATAATTCGACTTTAGTTAAAAGTGTCTGCTAAATGTTTTTAATAAGTATAATTTTTTTACTTGATTCTTTACAAATTGTTAAGAAAATGACTAGGATGTCTGAATAGGATGCTTCTTTTAGGTAAGTAAGGGTTTGATGGTTAGATTACATGTGGGTTTTTTAAACATGTTTCATTTTAATTATCATCCAATAACATGGAACAAAATGGAAGACAGACCATAAAACTATTGTTTCTTATGTTTGTGTTGTTGTTAACAGATTACAATAGACTAAAAGGATGGAAACTAATATTGAGGATTTTTTTGAGAAAACCAAAAATTGTTTATTCCCAAGAAAACTATGACTTTCATCTTTAAAAACGGTTACTGGAATATTTTATGCAGTATCTTAGGAGATATTTAATGGGGACATAAAAGAGCATAACAGGAATGACCCACATGAGTTAAACCCTGGCGAAAGATTATATGTAAGAATTTAAGGTCTTTCAAAAGGGTTTATTTAAGGTATGTGAGTGTTAAACAAAAAAAAAAATGTGTGGATGGGAACATTGAAACTGGCATGTCGGAGACAGTGTTGCAATGTTGTTTTGCATATTTGTTTGATGTGAAATTTAGGTCATACTCTTAGGGCAACATTTTCATCATCTCTGTTTGGAAAAAGACTCACTGAAACAAACCTAAAAGGGAAGATGTTCAAAGTCATTTTAAAGTTATGTTTAGTATATGTGTTTTTGAGGCCACAATGCTGCTTTTTTCTGGGTTCAAACTGTAGATCATTGTTATGAAAAGAATCAAAACCAAATAAATATATTCCAGTTTAAATACTATATTAAGCTTTAATGTAGGCTTACACATCCATTGTACATGTTTTTGTTTGTTTGTGTGTGTGTGTGTGTGTGTGTGTGTGTGTGTGTGTTTGTTTGTTTGTTTGTTTGTTTTTACAAGCTGAGTAAAAAATGACTGTGGTAATGCCATAGACGCTGTCAAATACAGTATGTGCTTAACCCAAAGGAACAGTCCAGTCAAAATGAAAATTGGCTAACTATTTACTCACTCTCTGGTCATACAAGATGTAGATGAGTTTGTTTCCTCATCAGATTTGGAGAAATGTACTGTAGCATTCCATCACTTGTTCACCAATGGATCCTCTGCAGTGAATGGGTGCCGTCAGAATGAGAGTCCAAACAGCTGATAAAAACATCACAATAATCCACAAGTAATCCACACCACTCCAGTCCATCAGTTAATATCTTGTGAAGCAAAATGTTGTATGTTTGTATAAAAACAAATCCATCATAAGAGCTTTTTTACCTAAAATATGAGTTCTCTACCCATAATATTGCTTTCTCCAGTGAAAAGTCCATCTCCTGTTGTCCTCTCACATCAAAATCCACCCAAATATTTGTTTAGAAGTGTCTCTCCTGATTCAGATGAGATGACTTTTCAATGGAGAAAGCAATACTGTATTATGGATACTGGACATTTTAGCCAGAAGCCAAGATTTGAAAAGCCTTAATGGTGGATTGGTTTTATACAAACACACAGCTTTTTACTTCACAAGATGTTAACTGATAGACTGGAGTGGTGTGGATTACTTGTGGATTATTGTGATATTTTTATCAGCTGTTTGGACTCTCATTC